CTCTATGAACTGTCTACATTACTCTGCTCTCCTCCCCACTTGTCATTCCCACTGAGAGCTGGTGTGTGGGGAGCGTACTGGCGCACTATGGCTGCCGTCGCATCATCCAGGTGGGGCTGCACACTGGTGGTGGTGGAGGGGATCCCCATTACCTGTAAAGCACTTTGAGTGGAGAGTCCAGAAAAAGCGCTATATAAGTGTAAGCAATTATTATTATTATTATTATTATTATTATTATTATTATTATGAGCTAAAGGAGACCTCCTTCAGGCGGCTGAGGTCCCTGCTACGCGCAGTGAGGGCCCTGACGTCACCGTATCTGAACCAGCTCCGCTACAAGGGCTAGTTTGCACATCCCTCTGATGCAATAACTGCACAATGCCTGTTACCCCCCGAGCTCACCAGTGGGTGTGAAATCATTCGAGGTCCCTTGTGGCCGTCACTTTGCCTTCTTGCCTTGTCCTCGGGGTGATCTTGAGCCTCAGTGTTGTCCTCAGCATGTTCGATGCTGCTCAGACAGTTTTGAATCCAGAATCCAGAGTTCAGCGACGTGGCCAGTCCGGGATTTTCCGCTGTCTCTCTTGGTGTGAACGCCTGGACTGTACTGGTTTGTATTACAGCATTGTCATGCTGTATGGATGAAGCGTTTTCGAATACGCTTCGGCGCTACTTCAGAGTCCGTCCTGTGGGTGCCGTCGTTAATTACCCCCTCGTTACGGGCGAGCGAGCCAGTCTGAGAGCTCTCCAGGCTCGGACTTCTCCTCCGGCACGCCTCGCCTCTCGGATGAGGCGGTGATCTTCCGATTGTCTGCAGTTCCTTTCTTTCTCCGCCCTCTAACCCGTCCGTCTCTGCGGTAAAGGTCTAGTCTGGTCGCACCCGCCCGTTTTCAAACGTTCCCGGCTCCTCTTTGCCGTTTTGAGCAGCTTCGGCTCTGGGTTTCCTGCTCCCGCTGCTGAAGGGGGGCGTGCCTGGCGCAGAGCTGGTGTGTCGGTCTTCCGCGGGCTGTGCATCTCGAGGGCCTTCAGCCCTGCGCCCCGAGGGTGCTGGCAGCTGCGCTGACAGTCGCTTCAGGGCTTTCCTTGACAGCTCCAGTCATTTGGCTGTCCTCGACTGCGGGTGTCGTTCTTGGCTGATGAGCAGTTACGCCTGTGCAATCCTTCGTCTTCAGTGTGACCCTCATCGCCGGCTCTGGTCCGCCCTGTCTCCGTGCTGTGATCGAGTTGCTGTAAAACGCCCCGAGGTGGAGTGAGACGTGTTGCACATTTGCTCCTAATTACCCAGTAACAAACACCTGTCAGCCTAGGGTCCCACAATCTCTGCCACTTCAGAATACAGGTCAAGCAGGATTGAGTGTTATTTCTTTAATTGACCCAAGAGGGTGGTAGTGAATTGACTAATGATGATGAAATAGGTCGGACTTGTACTTCATGGTCGCGTTTCTTTTCCACGGTGGTGAAAATCTGAGTTGGTCTTTCTTGTCCCAGTACTTTTGAGTGCACTGTGTACAAACGTGCCAACTTCATGCTGTATTACATTAGTCCTGAATTTCTACCAGCAATATAACCTCATTGGAAACATGAAATTATTTTCTTAAATATCTCCCTCAATTGCTTTGTCTGTTTTTTTGCTATTATTGTAACCTGTGACCCCCCTCTTCCTCACTCTCTGTGACCTCCTTCCTCACTTTAGTCTTCCTCTTCCCCCCAACTGTCTCTTTAATCCTCTCTTCCTCACTGTTTCTATAACCTTCCTCTTCCTCCCTGCGCGTCTCTGTGAAAACCCCCTCTTCCTCACTGTTTCTATAACCTTCCTCTTCCTCCCTGCCTGTTTCTTATATATTTGTATAGCGCCTTGAAAAGTGTGTTGACCTCCCTGGCTCTCCGCAGCTCCCTCATGCAGCGGTGAGCTGTGTGGAGTGTTTCTCGGCAGGGCTGCTGTTCGAGCAGGTGCTGGGGTCTCTCTTTGGCCACGAAGCCGTCTCCCAGTCCCTCGCACGCTACTCCTCCTTCTCCGACTTTGTCCGCGTCTTCCAGCAGCTGTCCGCTCGGAGCTCCCTGCCTCGGCACACCCGCTACATTGTGAGTATGCGTCCCTGTGTAGCCGATGGCGGTGAAAACACCTGCCGTTTGACCCATCCAGAGTAGCTCATTGAGCCCAGGGTCTCGTCCAGTTGTTTCTCGAAAGCAACCAGGATAGCTTGTTCCACTCTCCCACCACTCTTTGCGTAAAGAGCCTCTTGTTCTCAGTTTTAAATGCCAATTTTAAATTGGGGTTTCCACCTGTGTCCTTCAACTTGTGTTTTGACAACAGGCCACAATTATGAGCAGTTTGGAGGCCTTAGCCAGGAAACAAGTGCGTGTGTGCGCGTGTGCGCGTCCTAGATTGGGCTCTTATTCTGCGATTCTGTCCCCCCAGGTTCTGGACCGGGCCGAGCTGCTCAGGGACATGGATGCCAATCTGTTGCCAGGATTCCTGCGTCTGCAGGAGCTGGTGAGAGCGTGGGCAGGGGCGCAGGGGGTTGTGGGAGGGTGTAGTGTGTGTGGGTGCGCCTGCATGTGGCGGGACAGGAGGAGAAGCAGTCTGGAAGTTTTTGCTTTCGAGTTTTCTAGTTTCGGGGACCCACTGGCAGCCTTGTTTTTAATCCCCCCCCCCCCCAGCACATTCACTGTAAATGACTGGCAGTCTGTCATCTCCAGCAGATGTTGGCGCGGTCTGCTCGCGGTGACGTCATCCCCTCTGGACTGCAGCCCGTGTGGGATTCGGCTGCAGGACGGGACCCGGTCTTTTCCCCTGGCGGAGCCGTGTTGTCTGGGGAGCGGCGCAGTGCGTGCTCGGATCCCAGCAGGGGCTCATCACACGGCCAGTTAACGAGTGGGGCGCTGTTACCCTGTTCGAGCCAGTCCCTAATGACTCCTGGGCACACGTCTGTACTGCGGGCGTAGGTGGCTCTGTCGGCCTCTCCTCTTTCCCAGTGGAAAGCTGGGTGGGCGCTACATTTCTACCCCTTAACCCCCCTTCATCGTATCCCACAGCAGCATGAGAATTTAGCCCTGTGATGTATATTTAATGCCCGTTGCCCATTGAAATTCTGCCGGTGTTCTGTGTTACAGCACTGATGCGAGGCGCTAATCCTTGGGCCCAGATATAATCTGGCCCGGGGCTGCGGAGCAGGGCTCTGCCTGCTGCAGGTTTACAGTGCGAGGTGGGGGTACGGGCCAGGCTGCCATCCGGTTCGTGTTTTGCGGGCTGCCAGCTCTTCTGTATTCTGCGAGCTGGGAGAAGGTGCTGGGGTATTGTCTGAGGATGGGTTCTCGACTCAGCTTTGTTTTTTTCCTCTCAGAACCAGCAGATGCGTGCAGCTCGAGCAGTCAGGAGAGTGTGTGTGTGTGTGTGTGTGTGTGTGTGTGTGTGTGCACGCCCAAAGCTTGCTCAGAACCTGCCGTGATTGAATAATTGCTGGAGCTTAGACGCATCCGCTCTGGAGCGCTGGTGAAGTCCGAGCCAGGTTAACACCCTCTGGCCCCGTCGCCTCAGTTAGTGCCGAGCGGCTGTGTGTGTGCCCACTGGCGGGACAAGGTCAGCACTCCTGGCACAGAGAGGTCGGCGGAGGAGGGGGATCTTGCCTGGTGATCAGAGAGCGATGAGCCCTGGTAATGACAAACGTTGATCGCCGTAATGAAACTATACAAGAGGGCGCAGTGCCGTGCTGTGCCTTGCGGGGTCCCGGGTTCAATTCCAGGTCTGGGGTGCTGTCTGCATGGAGTTCATATGTTCTCTGTGTTCGTTTCCTCCCACAGTGCAAAGACATGCTGGAGGGTGAATTGGCTTCTGGGAAAACTGGCCCTGGAGTGAGTGTGTGTGTCTGAGTCTGTGTGTCCTGTGAGGGACTGGCGTCCTGTCCGGGGTGTACCCTGCCTTGCGCCCGTGGTTTGCCAGGGCAGGCTCCCCTGTGACTCCGCATTGGAGATGGAGGCGGGACGTGTGTCTCCTAAATAAACTTCCAGCACTCCGGCTCCTAGAAAGGTGTGTGTGTGTGTGTGTGTGTGTGTGTGTGTGTGTGTGTGTGTGTGTGTGTGTGTGTGTGTGTGTGTGTGTGTGTGTGTGTGGCCTGTCCGCCAGGGCTCCTCATTAGGGGTGGGGTTGAAACGGGGGTTCCCTGCTGCCTGGCTTTGTGTTTGGGGTGTGGGGCCCACGGTTGACCCCCTGTGTGTGTGTGTGGCCTGTCCGCCAGTGCTCCTCAGCTGGGATGGGGTTGAAACGGGGGTTCCCTGCTGCCCGGCTTCGTGTTCGGGGGGTGGAGCCTGCGGTTGACCCCCTGTGTGTGTGCGTGTGCGCCCCCGCCAGGTCGAGGACAACGTGACGGTGATCCTGCTGAGCGAGATCGTCTGGGAGAAGTTCAGGCCCGGCACCGGCTGCTTCGAGCCTCTCGTGCTGCACTTCCCGGACTACAGCAAAGGTACGGACTCGCGCCCGGAGCCGCCGCCGCCTGGCCCCCCCGTGGAGGAGAGCGAAGGGTCCCGATCCGTCGTCTGGAGAGAGAGACAGAGAGAGGCTTTATTATCCCCGAGGGGCAATGTGTCTTACAGCAGCGGTGTCAGTGTACAGACAGACAGAAAAATACCCACAGCAACAGCAGCAGTGTACTGTACATATTTGCACAGAAAATCAAGTGATAAGGAAGGATATGGCAGCAGGTATGAATGAGAACTTGGGTCTGTTGGTTTTGGAGTTGGGAAGTTGGCAGCTGTGTTCTGATGGGAGTCACTGGAATTCATTAGACAGGGGTGTGAGGGATCGGCACAGGTGGATTCTGCTTTATGCAGAACACGTGAATGATAGGAGGTGGAGAGGGCAGGAAGATCAGCGCCAGTGACCTTCTGGCATGTTTTCCCAAGGCTGCCCAGTTTGTTCTGTATTGCTCCTACCTTCCCTTGTGACTGCTCGGCAGTGCCCTGGCATTGCTGGGTGCCTGCTGTGCTGTCCCGCGCTCTGCTGGCGTGACTGTAAGGAAGGGGGACCCTGTGCTCTGATTCCCTCAGCCGAGCTCCAGCTGATCCTGTCCCAGGACCCTTCCCCGGCCTACTCCCCAGAGCTGTACGGCACCTACATCAACATCCTGCTGGGTGTCTTCTTCACCGTGTGCAGGGACCTGCGCGAGCTCCGGCACCTGGTGAGGCACCGCCGCGCGCGCTGGGGGGGGGGGGGGTGTTTCGGGCATGCGGAGCCGTAGGCCTGGTAATCGGCGCTCGGCAGAGAGACTCGTGGAGCGGTTGTTTCTGGCACACCCAGCCATGCTGTTGAAGCTGATACCCTGACGTGTTTCAGGAAACAGTCCAATGAGATCCCTCAGCCAGGACAGGAGGCACATCTTTACACAAAGAGTTGTGGGAGTGTGGAACGAGCTGCCCAGCCAGGCTGTTGAAGCTGATACCCTGGCTTCTTTCAAGAAAAGGCTGGATGAGATCCTTGGATCAATTAGCTGCTAACCAGCATTCGGGCTAGAAGTGTCACCTGGACCCCCTCTAGTAACTTTTCTTATGTAATATACTTCATCCACACAAGCTATTACTTGCAGCTCCCTGTAAAGACTGTGTCACGAGAACATTGTGTGATCTGGCCCAGATTTGAACCTGTGAAACCTGGACTGTACCTCCCAACCCACACTCTATTGACACTCGAGTAATTGAACAGCTGGGGACGTCCCCCAGTGTTTGCGATCTTCAAGAACCGGGGGACCCCACAGACACTGCGCAACATCACCACCGACATGTCTTCTGTAAAAGGGGTCTTGTACTTGGTTCCTGGAGGGCCTCATGCCTTCTGGTGTTTGTTCACTGTGCTCAAGTAAACAACCTAATTCTTTCCTAATTTAGGAGACTCAAAAAGCCAGTGTAAGGTCTTTTACACTGGGGGTTCACTTCATTAATGCTACTACAAGTCCTGTCTCCGATCCTGATTATAATTATCAGGGTTCCGCAGCTCAGCAAATGAATGAGTGATGTGGTTTGGAGCACAAACCGGAAGATACAGGGCTCTCCAGGGTGTGAGCTGGACCCCGCTGGGCACCTGTAGCTGTGTCTGAGACCGGGGCGCTCGACGCTGTAGTAAGGAATGGGGACTGTCCGACAGAGCCTCGAATCACGGGATTTGACGGCTTCCACGGGAAATACAATCGGGCGATGCGTTGGTGAGGGAGAGATCCCACAGGATTTTTTTTTCCCTGCTCTTTACGGTCATTGTAAGTGAACCCTTCAATCTGGAGAAAATCCCATCAGGAAAAATGAGCTTAAAACTGATGATCAGAGACGATTAGTGCTGAACCAACGTAGCATCCAATTTGCCAAAACGGAAAAGGGAACTAAAGTGTGCATTTGCCCTCCTCAGGTCCGTAATCCCCACGTTTTCTGTTTTTTAAGAGGAGGCCTACTATAAGTTACGTTCTCACTTCTGTGTGAATGCTGGAATGCTGTGCAACGCCAAGTGAGCTTTGTCCCAGTGCACTGAAAGAGTGCTTTCCACGTCCAGCCGTCCCGCCTTTCCAGCTCTGCCCAGAACGTTGCGCGCAAGTCCCGTCCCCATCCTGGTGCGCGCACCGAGCCTTCCTGGTCATGGGAACGAACCGGATTGGGACCACGGGTTCGGGGGAGAAGAGCCTCCCACGGCGGCCGGCCCAGTCGGGGGGGGATCGGTCTTTGTTCTTTTACACGCTGCGGAAGGGCCCGCGTCACCTTGACAGCTCTGTGTTGGGACTGTCCAGTCCCGGTCCTGACGAGCCCCCGCCGGCCCACGATGAGCTTCATGAGCCCGGTTTCACAGGTCCAGACCTGGATGCCGCCGGTGTGCGCGAAGTGATTCATAACTACCGTTTCAGATGTCGGCAGGTCTGCGCATCTCGCTCCTCTGTCGTTGTCACCTCCGAGATTTCGCAGAAAGCCAAGGGAGATCAGATAATTCCCGGGATTCTCAGGATTTCCAAACGCCGCGCAGTAGTGGAGGGACTAGAGCACCCAGAAGCGGACTGCCGGTCTCCTCCTGGTTCTGTCGGTTTCTCCGTTTTAAGCCGTTGGATATTGATTTTGTTTGTGTTTTTTTTTTTAACAGGCTGCCCTTAATTTTCCGAAGTTCTGTGAGCCTCTGGAGAAGGGGGAAGGTAATGGCTCTGTTTCTCTCAGCCTGTCTAAAGGGAAGTGAGACTTTCAGTCCCCCCCATCTCGTTCACAGCCTGTCTTTCTCAGTGACACTTAGGGTTTCTTCAGCATCTC